TTATTCCCACTCTGTGCTATCAGTTCCAGACGTGGTCACTCACAATAAAACATAAAAGATAATTAGTAACCATGGAACTTAGGTGTCTGAGAAAGGCTGCAGGAGTGACCAGAAGAGATAAAATCAGGAATGAGGTTATACGAGATAATGTCGGGACAGAATCAATTCTGAATTACATAGAAAGACAGCAAATTAAATGGTTTGCCCACGTGAAAAAAAAAAATGCCTTCTGACGCTATACCATTCAAGGCATATATCAAAAGAGGAGAGGGACGTAGAGCAAGAGGTAGACCAAGAAAATATGGAAGGATAACATCAGAGAAACTCTACAGTACCACGATGTGTCTTTGGTCAAAGCAGCCAGAAAAGCACGAAGCAGGACCTTATGTTTCCCTCGACACCGGAAGAGGTAAAAGAGGACGTAAAAAAGAAAAAGACGATATGTTTTCAGTATATAATGTACTCTCGTTCTTGCCTTTATTAAATTTAATTGTGTTATCCGTATGAGAACGAAGAATGTATGACGATGTGGTTTATTATATATAAAATACGTACGCAGTGTGTTACTTGTGCCCAAATTAACTTCACCGAATTCCTTTTCTCCTCCTCCTCCTTCTCCTCCTCCTCCTCCTCCTCCTTCTTCTTCTTCTTCTTCTTCTTCTTCTTCTTCTTCTTCTTCTTCTTCTTCATTTTCTTCTTCTTCTTCTTCATTTTCTTCTTCTTCTTCTTCTTCTTCTTCTTCATTTTCTTCTTCTTCTTCTTCTTCATTTTCTTCTTCATTTTCTTCTTTTTCTTCTTCTTCATTTTCTTCTTCTTCTTCTTCTTCTTCTTCTTCTTAAGGTTATGCCCCGGTGGAGCATATGGCCCTAACCAAATCATGCCAAGTACACCTGCCTATTCTTTGGTATCGCATGCAACTCACCACATCTCATCACCATCTATTCAACGCCTTTTACGACACGCCTTGCAGAGTACATTGTTGCTGCTTTATGCTTCGCACAAGGGCTCGGTCACACACCAGATAGTAGCCACAGACCTCAGAACTAACCTGGACTTCCTTTTCTAGCATACCTAGTGTGAGTAGGGTGACATAAATATCCTGAGCTGAAAACGGAACCTCTACTTAATATTTGAAAATGCAAATTGGACACCCCAAGTCCCTTTTTCCTATTTCACTTTTCACCCCGCTCGACAATGAAAGTAAAAAACACCAACCGTTGTCGCCAATAAATGAATAAAACTATATGCTATTTAACTGCACTGGCACACGCACACACACACTCACTCAAAATGCTACACATAAAATATCTTTCAACACCTTTAAGACATTAAAAGTATCTAAAACAATGAAATCTGATTAGGTCTATAGATATAACTAAATGTCTTTGTTCTAGTCTAGCTAATTCTTAGATTTGTAGAAACGAGACAATATGCGCTTGTTGGAAGTACCGAGGGAACGACCGGGATACATGAGACAACTGGACTGCCTAGGTTAAAACAGGCCGTATGGTCATCATATATGTAACATGCTCTAGAAAGGCGTTGTCTGACGTAAAATGTGGTCCAGAGCACCATATATACTTCTCTCACATAAAAAAAAAAAATAATTACAGCCTGTTGTTTCTGTGTGGGTTTGAGGGTCCAATTTTGGGATGGGTTAGGTAAAAAAATAAGGGGAAAAAAGGGGGATAGACCCATTGCCCCTAACAAGCATGTTGTATAAGTCGACTTTTTCTATTTCTTACGTTCACCGGCTGTATACTCAGACATAAATTTCTGATTTTTCGTCCACTCCTGGACTCTAGACCTGTTCCAGAAACTGAGCGTTGTGTGCACATTCCTTTTACAGGACCGACTCATTTGCATACAGACTGTTCGTTTCCTGCCTCTCAGGCAGATGTACTCCGACTTCGAAGGAAGCTCCCAATTAGTCGACTCTTACAACAGGAGGTCGTCACTGGAGCTACCGAGTTCGTGCTTTGTACGTTTTTTTATATTTTTTTTTATTTTTTGCAGACGGCTACTGTTCTGCAGGGAGGGTCGAGCCACAGACGATAAAACACGTTGCAAAAAAAGGATCCTCTCGACTTTGTTGAATGTGTCTAACATTGACAATTGTTTAACATCATGGAAAATATGAGGCTGCCAGCATAAAATTCCCCCCTTCCCCCCCCCCCCGCCTCCAAGGTCAGTTGCATGTCCCATGCGGAAAGTCGCAAACAAACCTCGATATTTATTGTCTGCTGTGCCTCATTTTGACAATGAGTATAAATTGTGTTCTTTTTAGGGCACTACGGCCAAGTCTGTGTGTGCTCAGAGCCCCCCCCCCCCCCTCCCCCCCCCCCCCCGGCCTCCTTTTTTTTCAGTGTCTAGCGGTTAATAGTTAAAGTTCTGTGTTGGTTGACACGACTACCTATACATCTGGTGTGCCTCTCAATCTGGTTGTGTCGACATTTACTCCCTGTTCTCGAATTCGAGTTCTCGAGTGATATGGACACTCTGTTCCCAAAAATCATCTTATTGTCCTATTTCTCCAAGTGCATTCAACAATACGCGACCAGTCTGTCCGCTCCTTTATTGCCAACAACACCCACATATCTGGCGAAGAGACCAAGATAACTCCACGCACACTAGAGTTTCGCAATGACTCATTCCACTTTCTACGTTCAGAGCCTGCCTCACCTGCCGGATCATACTTGACAATAATACGCTCAATCGTTTATCGTAGATTTCTAAATTTTACAACGCTCATACTGTTTTCAAAACCAATGCTTAGTCGACTGCTATCAAACCGCTTGCAGCTGACTTGAAACCTCGGTATGCCGGGGAATGTGAAACTGCATTCACAATCCGTAAGCAACACACACAGACAAGCATCCATAACTTACTTTTAAAGTTCTGGTGTGTGCGGGTGTTTCTGAGAAGCAGTTCGTCGCAGCGTCCAAATGCAATGCACGAGTTGGCAAACACTGCCCAGAATTGGAGACGAAATAGTCTGTGTTCATCTTGTTTTGAAATCGGAAACCAGCAGTGTTATAAACGAGCCAAAAATATATAAAATTGTTTTTTTTTTAAATGTTACACAATTGTTTTTGGTTTATCAACCAAAAACAGAAATAGGACCAGTCTAGCCTTATCATCTGTCGTTTTCGGAACAGAACACAGAACGGACGAAAACTACACAAGGTAAAGGCATGCCAGAAAAGAAGCCGAAAAAAGCAATAAGAACAGAGAAGAAAGATTTATGGGAAAAGTTTAGAAAAATGTTGGCAGCAGAAGAAAAAGCAACACACACACACTCACAAACCATCACAAGAAAGTAAGAGGGATAAGACAAAGCAATGAGGATTATAAACTAACAGAAATAATAGATGATGAAAGAGGACAACCTATGCTTTGCCCCAAAAGTAGCTTCTTGCTTAGTTGCGTTTCTTGTACTCCTTCCACGCATCACTTTCTTGGTCGACCTTTTGCCTTGTAGTGCGTTCTAGAAGCTGGCTTCATAAGTCAAGTTTAGTAAAATCCTTTCCCAAGCCTTTTTACATATTAGGTTAAAGGTTAAAGATTACAGTCAAGAACATCGAACTCACTGAACTGTTTTTTATCCTATATGGCTCGGTCACTCTCAGCAGAACGGTTAGCCGTCTGCCAAGAGCATCGCACAAAGCATGAACTCCGTACCTCTGGCGACTATCCCCATGGATGTCTGTTTAAAAAATTGAACTCCCAAACCGAAAGGATCGGCGTTTGTGGCTTAGGCTTTCCGAACGCGCTTGCCTAGAAAAACCACAACAGCCAATAAATGCTGGGGTTGGTTCTGCAACGTCCTGTAAAATGATAGGCAACTAACTTTTAAACCGAAGGCCGCAGCCGTGAAATGAACATACGACTTCAACAGCACGAGGCAAAAAACATTCACCACTTCGCCTTACCTCTCATAGACTAATCGTCACTCGATAAATGATCAGTATCACACCGTCCACATTTACTTCCTGTAACATTTCTAGGGTCGGCTCTGTGGCTAAGTCGATGCGAACGCTTCGAAATGCCGGGATGCCGTGTTCGATCCCAGCTGCGGGCCATGCGCCTTGCGTTGATTTGTGCTTGAATCCCCACAGAGGCATGGGTTTTAAAATCAATGCATAAGGTTCCCAGCGGCACAAATCATAAATTGGCTGTCTAGAAATGTTAGGTTATGTTAGTTGCGTATCCTTTACAGGACGTTGCAGAACCAACCACAACAACCCCTGGCTGTTGTGTGGTTTTTCTAGGCAAATTTACTTCCAGTAGTTTGCCACCGCACACTGGACGGTCGGCTTTCTTGATACCACTGTCGAAACCAACGCAAGGCACATGGCCCGCAGCTGGGATCGAACCCGCCAGCCCGGCATTCCGAAGCGTTCGCATCGACTTAGCCACAGAACTGACCGTTACAATATGTGGAAACTTTATTAAAGGGTCATGGTAATAGGAAGGTTGAGAACTATTGGTCTAGCTCATTCCAAATCGGCTTTATCCGATTTATTTTAGCTCATCCACGCTGCTTTTTGTTCTTTTCTTGGTATAACTGTTCTTGGATGATGCTCCAAATATGATAGTCCCGAGGGTTAGGGTCCGGACTATTGGGTGGCCACAAAATCGGTTTGATGAATGCGGGTGTTTCCAGCGTGAAAAGGGATATTGTATCCCTAGCGATTGTTCCGCAGGGAGTCGCCGTGGCATTGTCGGCTTGACTCCCGCCTGCGTATCGGAAGGTTGTGGGTTCGCGTCCTTTCGGAGCCTGACTTTTTTTTTGTATTTTGTTTTGTTTTTTGTTTTAGAAAAACTGAGTGGGTACCATGTACATGCCTGGAAAGTAAAGGCGACCGGCGTGATGCTGACCACATTACCCACCAAGTGTTGAATTATAATAAACGGGACAATTGTCACAAGAGGCGTCACCAGAACTGCAATAAAGAAACAAACCTGATAGTTGTTGCCATAAGAATCAAGGCCTGCTTGGTGGGATACTGAAGGCTCGGCTTTGTACAAGGATGTTGACTGAGAGCTGGCACTTACGCAGGGTCTGTAACTAGTCAGTCCTGAACCATCTCCTACAGCGTGCAACCAGCTCTTGGTAGGATCTGCTGACGACTGGAAGCTGTAAGATTTGGCAGTGGAAAACTGCTCCGACTGTTGACGTTGCTGTTCCTGCTGCTGATACTGCTGAAGCAGCAGTTGCTGCTGCTGCTGCTGTTGCTGTTGCTGTCGCTGCTGCTGTAAATGCTGCTGGTGCTGCATCATCTGTCTTTGCAACTGCTGCTGTTGTGCCAGCTTCTGCTGGTGCTGGAGAAGTGTGTCTAACGTTGACGGGCGACCCTGCTGCCCGTTAGATTCACCGCCACACTTCTGCTGACCAAGACTGCTCCAGCTGGACAGTCCGCTGGTATTACTATGCATAACCAAAGGTCCACTGGATGTGTTTTTATACAGATTGTCCATAGAGGCCTGTGTGTCGTTAACAGCTTCCAACAGTCCTTTCTGAACCGGTGCCGAGTTCAGACTCTGAACATTTGCCGAGTCTCCGTCGCCAATGAGCACAGAGTCCGAAGAAAACTTCATCGTATAATTAGGATTATTCGTAGAAATGTTCGAATCCTCTTGGGGCGACAAATGATTGTCACACATGTACGAATACTTAAACAGTTTCAACCGATCAGAGTTACTAATTTGCCCTTCGTCGTTACTGTACTGACTGGAATCGCCTTCATGAGAATCCTCAAACTGTTGCTGGGACGTGTCTGTGAATGCCTCGCTACGGCCAGAATCGGTCTTGTTGTTGTCTATTTCTGGCACCGCCTCGGTGTCTTTGTTCTCACTGGTGTCAGTTACAGTGCTGGCTCGAATGTAGTGTCTGTTCGAGTGGGGCCACAGTTTCCGAATTGATTCAGTCGTCGTTTTCTTTAACAGTTCCACAAACTCGGGATCTTCTTTTGAGTCATCGGAAAACACTGACGTCATTCCGGCCAGGGGCAGAAATAAGGGTACAGACTTTGGCGGCGCTCGTGGACTGCTCAGTTGCTCGTGACTGTCGCCACGCCCACATGTTTTACGAAGATAATCCAGGTAAGAACGATAACTGAAAGCGAAAAGTGTAACATTAATACAACATTAATGAGAAAAGACATCTTTTCACTGTTGGACAGACATTTCGTAAAGAGGTCAAGAAAACCTTTCATGTCACTAGTTCATTAGGTATTCGATCCATGACGAACGATAAACACGCGGTGTGTCACCATTCGGATAAGAATCACCTGGGCACAAGTCCTGAAACCCCCTTCAACCGATAGGTTATATTTAAGGCACCTGACAGATGCCGTGGTAGGGGTTTTAAAATAATAAAAGATTGCTTCCTATATTTGAGAGGATATTAGCTACTATTTCACCTGCTGCTTCTTCTGCAATTCTCATTGATCGCTTTAGCTGCCGATGGAGATGTCAGAGTCTGCTGCTTGCTTTTGTGACCGCATCGAACATAGACACATCATGCTGTTGTAGAGTGTCTCTGATGTTATCTTTTCCATTATGTTTTTGGTCTACCTATTGCCCTAGGTTCTCTCCTCTATTAGTGTATGCCTTGTGTGATATGGCATCGCTAGGCACTGTCTCTGCGCTGGCAAACTATTTGATTTGCGGTCTTTGTCTATAATTTAGAATTGTTTCCGTATCAACATTTTCTCATATGACCTCATTCTTGATTTTTAATGTATGTGTTGTTCGTCAAGATGATAATGATGACTACTCTTTTCATCAAGTATGAGTACGAAGATGACTGATGAGGCCGATGCGTGCCCGAAAGGTTTTTGGACAGTGAGGACAGGGAATGTGTGCTGTGCCAGGGAGGGGATCTCCTGCAGGCTCCGTTCTGTCCATCCTTTTGTTAATCAGTCTTGCTGTTTTGTTTGTTTTACATGTAGCCGCGCACCTGTTTTTAGTTCCACGCCATGCATTTCTGTGTTGAGAGGAGCCTCCCAATTAGTATCATTCATCCCCAATACTGACTTATAATATATATTGTACAAGACTCATATTTGTGTCGACCAATCGGCATTCGACACGGTTTGTGAGCGCCATATATGTTTTAGACCAATAGCATTGGAAAGATCATCTAAAAACAGCACGCATCCTACCGCGACTTCACATTACATTTCTGGGCACCAGTGTCAGGATGGATGTAACTGCGAGTTAGTTAAAGGAAGAAGAAAAACACTGGTTAACGAGGTATGAAACAAAATACACAACGTCTGTGATTTAATGAAGCGTATATTCTTGATTACCAATTTGTGTGGCTAAGGCTTCGTAATTCCGTGGTGCCAGGTTCGATCAACGCTGTGGGCGATCTGGCAGCAGACTGCCTTGCGGTAATTTCAAAATTGGTGCCAAGAGGGGACCGTTTTGTAAGAAATGTAAAAATTCCAGTTAGCGGGATAATGAGCAGGCTGATTGATTAGCCGCTGTCGTTCCTCTTAGTGGTGAGCTACTTTATGATAAAGCAAACGTGGTGAGGGCTATCTGGGGTCAAATGGATAGTGCAGTAGAACATACAGATAATCCGTACATTGACAGACGTATTCACTGGGGTGTGAGAAGAGGGTCTGGGAGAAAACATAGGCGGACATTCAATCACGTATTGAGATAACTGGATACAAACCTGTTCTTACCTAATGAAAGTTGTATATATGTGCCAAGAAAGTACTGAGGTAGCTGATAAAAGAGTATACTCACCCACTGACATTGTTGAATACAAATAATAACACAGTAAACTAGTTGGATACAAGTGTGTATTTACGTACTGAGATAGTTGGATAAAAGTGTCTGCTCACGTATTGAAGTCTTTGGACAATGTATGTACTCATGTATTTAGATACTTGGATACAAGTATGTACTTACGTATTGAGATACTTGGATACAAGTATGTACTCACGTATTGAGATACTTGGATACAAATGTGTACTCGCGTATTGAGATACTTGGATACAAGTATGTACTCACTTATTGAGACACTTGGATACACGTATGTACTCAAGTATTGAGATACTTGGATACAACTATTTACTCACGTATTGAGATACTCTGAAACAAGCATGTACTCACGTACTGAAGTACTTAGATACAAGTATGTACTCACATACTGAAGTACTTAGATACAAGTATGTACTCACGTGTTGAAGTACTTAGATACAAGTATGTACTCACGTATTGAGGTAGTTGGACACTAGTGTGCTGGCGTGCACCGTCGATAAAAGGGTGTTTCCTAACTGGACCCTGCAGCTCTGGGCGTTGTTCTCTTGTGTTGTGTAGACACGTACTAGGTCGGCGAAAGTTCTGGGGGAGAAATGATTAAAGCAACACTGTTATACATTACAGAAGATAATATTTATCATTCTATACTATTCGTAGCCTTAGTCAGGGTTTCAACTTCAGCGCAGTCGGGTCACCCCATACTCGCCCCTTTTTCTATGCCAGTAAAAAAAAAAGTGATGTTTTTCACTGTCCCATTTCAAGTGAGTAGAGACAAATTATATAAAGAGTGGAAATGATACCAAATCAGGCATTTTTGTTGAAAGGGAAGCGGTTCTGCCTCTTCTTCATACAGTCCATTCCATGTGGTGTTCGGTCATGTTAGCAAATTTCTATCTCGTGCACCTTCTTCTATGCTATGATGTAAAACTGTCCCGCTCCCTCTGTTTCTTTTCCTAACCTTTCAGTCGTCAAGATTAACTCCTTTTCATGATGTGACTATAGAATATGGATATCCTTTTCTAATTTGGGAAATGGGCTTTTGTGTGTGTGTGTGTGTGTGTGTGTGGGTTAGTTTCTTTCGAGTCATATTTATTACTTTTTTTTTTAAACCGTGCAGTGTATTCTCATCATTCGTTTCTAAAACCACATCTCCTCCGCTTCCGAATAATTTTTTCACCAAGCGGTAGAACTGTCCATCATTACTGAAATTACTAGACATTAATGACGATAGCGTTCAAACCCACCCGGACATTACACCTAGCGATAAACATCCCATGACACAAAATGGCACCCATTGGATGAGGGTCACCCATGGACAGGGTCCCAAATACCCCATTCAACCCGTAGGGTGGGTTATAATAGGGACCCTAACAACGGCCAGTTATGCGCATTTTTTAAATTGACGCTACAATCACTAAAAGTTAACATTCGCTGGAGTTACGTTCCTTGAGAATTTACGAGTACCCTTCATCCAAGGAAGAAATTAGTTTTTACAAAGCTGTATTTCCCCTGTCTGTCGTTTTCCTTTAGTTGAGAGGCAAGGAGTCAAACGTCTGCAAACGATAAGTTAGCTCTGTTAAATAGATTTCAATGCAAAGTTCAAGTTCTGGGTCAAGACCAAGGTTGAGGGGTGGATAAACAACCGTAACTTTACCTCTATATAACAGACAATAGTTGTGTGTGTATGCCACGCTGTTGAATACTGGTGTCCGTATTAGTGACAACGCTATTAGAGTCTGGTACAATGACTTAACAAACGGCAGCGGTGGAGAAAAAGATGAAGAAGAGAACGAGAGCTTAAAATCTAGTGGTGCCCAGCAACTAAATATAGGGTATTAGTTAGACCATCGGTGCTCACACTGGGTGGGTTATGAACTCTGCCCTATGAGCCGCCTTGGGCTCTGGAGGAAATACTAACGAACTAACTAACTAACTGACTGACTAGCTAATAATAATAAAACGCGTAAGAACTTCTAAACTTATTACTAACTCAGTCCCACAAGGACTTAGCTAATGTCTGAGGCAGTTGAAAATGACAATACTAAACTCATACTACTTCCATATACATACTACATACTTAAAGAAAACAAATGTATGTCCCGAGTTCTTCACAGTCCCTCACTAAAAATGAGATGTAAAAACATACATAACACGTTGACTGGTACACATCGCTAACGCCCAACCACGTAAAGTGCGTTGTCAGGTACAGAACGAACAAATTACTAACAGGAATAAAATGATACAGCAGATAAAATCATTTCGAAGCTCCGGGGAGAATAAGTAAATGGGAAGAGCACCCATAATTTTGCAGACCAATTGGCACTAGATAAGTAATGTGGTCAGCATCACGCCGGCCGTCTTTACTTCGCCAGGACAGACATCCAGGTACCCATTTAAGGCTGGGTCGACCTGCGACGCCCTATACCACGCAGCCAGCAGTGGGTTTCGATCGCGGTACGCTGGAATTACGAATCGGACTCGCAACGCCAAAGCCACGGACGCCGCATAAAAGGCACTAAGAAATTTACTAGGAAGCAAGACTTACCTGAGTAAGTAAAGTAAGTAAAGATCCCTTTTCACGCCTTTCGGCGCATCGGGCATATTGGGCAGAGCGTCCCATATTTTTACAGACCATCAGCACTCTGTGGGTAATGTGGTCAGCATTACGCCGGCTGTCTTTACTTTCCCAGGACAGCCCATCCTGGTACCCATTTTAGGCTGGGTCGACCTGCGACGTCCCATACCACGACAAAAATCCACGCAGCCTGCAGTGGGTTTCGATCGCGGTATGCTGGCTTACGAGTCGGACTCGCAACGCCTTAGCCACGGACGCCGCTAGTATTATCTATATCAGCCATCTATCAACTTGGCCTTTAACTTATTTAATACCAATCAACGCATCATGCATTGCTTGGGTTCTACTTACATCAAAGTTGTCTCCGATTCTCACGCCACACACAGTTGTTGTCCGAAACCCGCACTGTTCTGGTGGTCACTTTTATTCCTTCAATCTTATGAGGTTTTTTACTATTTTAACGTATTCTGACCCATTCATTTCTTCTTCTTCTTTTTCAACATTCCGAGTCCTTGATGTTTATTGCTGCAGATATCACCCGCCATCACTCATCTCTCTGCTTGGCCTTCTCATTCCAGGTAGGGACTCCAACGGTGACATACGTTTATTACATTGTTTAAAACCCTTTCTGGGAAAGGATGGGATAAATAACATCTGCTGATATCTAAAGAAAAAAGAAAAACACAGACATGGTTGGAACATCGATGTGAATAAGCTCATAAACAGCACCTTGTCCCGAAAGATGAGTGGCTTTGGCTATGTTAAACGTCCTGGTCGCCTAACAAATCGAGCGCAATTAACTCAACCAAACATTAGCAGACTAACAGAAAGCTAATTTAAAAAAAAAAAGACAATGTAAATGTGGATACAAGACACTGAAGCTGCATCGGCTGTGACTGCACTGGGACTGAAGAACTAACAAGAGCAAGAGCCTTTCAGGCGTGTCCTGACGAGAGCAACGTTCTGTAAAGAACCTGCTGATTGACGATGGTATTAAAAGAGTTAGAAAAAAGTGGACTAGCACCACTGCCCAATACGCCACCTCAACATGAACAACGGGTCTATCACATTATTTACGTCTACAAAAGGGGTCTCTTAAGCGAGTTGATCAAGCCGTTGGCCTCGCACTAAAAAGGACACTGGTTCATTTCACAGACGTATCCTTTACTTCACGAGTGTTGTTTTTTAAGGAGATCTATGAGGATCGTCACTGCAGCTAAGGAGTTCGTGCTTTATGTAGCTTTGTCAGCGGACAGCTAGGGGTTCTGAGGGGAGAGACCGAATTGTAAGGGATAAAACCTGTTGCAATTAAGTCGATTCTCCCTCCAATTACTTTCAAACATACACACACAAAAGAGTAATAATAAATCCACTTACACATTGGAATCAAATAATTTCTGGGTTACTCCCCCTGCTTGTGTTGAAGTATCAGCGAAGACGATCTGCGGACAGTAAAATCGGTGCCACATTTTAAGCAAATAATAAAACCACCCATAATGTTGTACAGAAATAAAAGAAATAATTATTCCGACAAATTATAGTGCTACTTCGATTTAAGCGAGAATTAATTCTTCAGATACGAACATCTTCGGCTTCCTAACGGTTTTCGTTGTTGACGTCATTAGTTGTCTACAGGAAAAATACCAGTCTTGAATTTTCCAACTGGACCATAAAATATGTATCTTTGTTTTTTTCTTTTTGACTTCAGAAATCAAAGATGACGTAGATGTAAACTGGTTCTAAAACTCCCTAGTCATGTGAAATTCAGCTGCAGCTCTAAATGGTCGCCGGTATTTTGTGTAGTCTTTTTTTTTTATCCAACACGCCCTCCAGGTAAGGTATTTCGGTCACCATGTGACCCCAGCAACGGCACAATTTCTTGAAGCTCACGCAAGACAAGTGTCTTAAATTAAAGGATATAAGTGTCATAGTGACCACACTGCCGATTAGTGAAAACATGTTATGTAAATCCTTGCTATTTAATATTCTAACATGCATCTATAAAGTTAACCCTAACGGAAACCAGAGACTCGCGAAATTCGAGTGATTTTTTATTTTTGCAGGCACAAAAATTGTTAGATCCAAGAGATCCAATTAGCCGTCATTATCTATCGTAAATAAAACGCTGACTTGCGACTTACAGCTAAATTAAGTCATAAGTATAAATATCTGGTGTCTAAATTACAGGTTTTATATATGTGGACAGCTGCCTGCTGTATCGGCGTCGTTAAAGTGAATCCTTTTGGTGCGTTTGCATTCATCTAGTATGCTTCGCAACCCAGTTCTATGTGGCAATAGGATATTCCCGAAAACACTTTAGGAAACAATTCCATCGCACATTTACACATCAACCATAATGTACATGATAAAGTGCAAAAAGGTAGCCACAGCAATGAAAAGATTAAACAGCATTAAAATTCTATGATTAAGCAACAGCAAGGAAATCATAAGAAGGATAATATCAGAGAAACTCTACAACAGCACGATGTGCCTATGGTCGAGGCAGCCAGAAGAGCTAGAAATAGAACCTTATATCTCCCTCGACACCCACAGCGGTAAAAGAGGAAGTAAAGAAGAAGAAGAAGGAAATCAAAAATAACATTTTTAAAGCATGCATCTTTTCTTTAGCAACATATGTAGATGAGTCGTGGACTATCTCCCAGTCCTTAAGAAAGAGAATAACTGCTTTTGAGCTGTATTCTTCAGAGATTCCTAGAATGTCAAGGACAAAGAGAAGGAGAAATAGTATCCACATTTTAAAAGATCTCAAAATCAAGGAAGATTGGCTAGTAAATAGCATCGTGTCTCAGAGGCTGAAATATTTTGGTCATATCAAACGCCATGGCAGATTAGAACCGAGTCAGTAAAAGAGGACTTACAGACGACGATAATGTGTGAAAAGAAACAAACGCGTTTTCCACCACACAGCTACAAGGAAACCAAAACAGCGCTAAAGCAGTCTTTCAAGCGGGAGTGAAGAAGGCAGAATGGAGATTACAGACCAGAGAGTGACAGCATAAACAAACTCAACAGGAAAGAACAAACAACAATTTTTAGACTTCGGACTGGACACTGTGGTCTTCGAGCACACCTGTACAGGATAGGCATAAACGAATCTGCTGCCTGTGATTGTGGAGCAGAAATACAGACTCCTGGGCACATACTACAGTACTGCCCTTACCTCTCCCAGCAAAGACTGTGGATCTGGCTCAAGGGAGCCACACTGAAAGAGAAGCTATGGGGGACCGGTGGCGACCTTAAACGCACAATCCTATTTGTGACCCAGACGGGACTCAATGTTTAGCATGACTGATGTCGAACGCAGAAGAAGAAGAAGAAGATCCATAATGTTAACAAAAAGTAATGAACGAGCGATATTGTGATTTTTTAAAAATTATTACGGCCATAGCATTCCCGAGGGTATTTATTCTCCCGTCCCACTTGTCTCGTCAGTCTACCGGCAAGACATCAACCTGGCTGCTTCGAGATATTAAGCTAAGTGATTGTGTGTATTTGTGCGGTATTGTTTTATTTATGTGTGCGCTGATGAAGGCTCCGTAGCCGCAGATTCACCTTTTGTTTGTGTTCCTTTTTTATATTGTAAAGCTTGCCTATATACCTTTCGTTCGGTTTCCTATCTTTTCTTGAGCTAAATTATGACATGCATTGTAGAATTTTAAAAACCAAAACAAAATACGGAACTCTTAATTGTATGGTTAATTGTTTCGTTTCAAAACCAAGTTACGTATCTTCAGTTCTGATATTATTTCGATCTTTTCATGTGCCAGTGAAAGTGGAAGAACCACTCAAGATGTGAAACGTAGGTTAAATACATTCGAAAAAAAAGGCATAAGGAAAATAATGAACATTCACTGGGATGCATTCAAGAAGGATGCAGAAAAAAAGTTAAATTACCGACAAAGAAGGAGAAGATGGCGCCATATTGGACACCGCCGGAAAAGAAACGATCAGAGAGTCACCAAACAGGCACTGAAACGTGACATAAGGGACTGGGGAAACGAAAATGCCTAAGACAAACCCTAAAACGAACTCTGATGATAGAAGCCAAAGACTGCACAGAATATAAAAGAATGGAATAGTATAGTATATTGGGAGCCCTATGTAAGTAAAAGCAACGATCCCTTTTCACTCCTTTAGGCGCATCGGGCATGTGGGAAGAGTACGCATATTTTTACAGACCATTTGGCACTAGGTGTGTATTGTGGTCAGCATTATGCTGGCCGTCTTTACTTCCCCAGGACATACATCCTCGTACCCATTTTAGGCTGGGTCGACCTGCAATGCCCCATACCACGATAAAAATCCACTCAGTCAGCAGTAGGTTTCGATCGCGTAACATTAGAATTACGAATCAGACTAACCCACGAACGCCGCTAGGGCCCTATGACAGTGATGAGAATGATGAAAATGAACCAACAGAGCAGATGGCTAGCAGGACACTAATACAGTACATGTATGCAGATTATTATTTTTACTAACTGCTTTTTTATCAGAGATCCTGAGGCAACACGGACTAACAACAACACGTGCAACACACCTGGCCCAGGATAGAAAACTGCGACTCCCGACTACGCTGTGAGGCAATTGTTTGTTAAGACAAGACAAGTCAAGACTGTTTTTATTTATTTATTTACTGTTAAAAAAAAATTTTTGTTAAGAATTTAAACCAAGCCAGACATTTTCTTGAGGCCTTAGAGATGTGATTTTTACAGAGGATTCCTTAGAATCCATTGAACGGCTAAAAATAAGCACCACAGATGTTTTGAAAGAGGCGAGCGCTCGAAGACAACTTTCACAACGATCAAAAACGAACTTTTCCCCCCTTCCTCCCTACCCTATGTCTAATAAGACAGAACGTATACCAACGATGCCAGCATCAAGAGCATACACCATGAAATCGAAAAACCAAGAGGCAGGGGAAGACCAAGAAGAATATGGATTGAAGGAGTCACGGACAACTTGAGACTTCATAACATCACGGCATATGAAGCGACTGAGCGCGCCCTGGCTCGATTGCCGATCATCTGATAGACTGCGACGCCTAGCGGCACAAGCAGATTTTGACAAAGTATACTGACATCTTTCCACGTCATGATAAAATAAATCAAGTTAAGTACCCTTTTTTCACATCTTTAGGCCTAATAGGTATATAGAGCTAGACCTACATTTCATCGATCAGTAGGCAATCATTGGGTGATGTAATCAAAATCATATTGATCTTCTTTACTTCCCATGACTATACCTTCTAAACCAGTTAAAGCTGGCTCGACATGGGAGCCAATGTCATTTTTTAAGAAAATAAAAGTCCGGCTTCGTCAAATCATCAACCCTCGACCACCGGATCCGCAAGCAGAATATCATGATGAAAGCTATAAATTGTCAATCCGAATCTTATTCTACATCTTTCCCAATCCAACATACGTCTGTGAGACCTGAACACTTACCAAACACTCTGTACAGCACATAAATGCCTTTGTAATACAAATGTTGTAGACGGTTCTAAAAATATCATAGGTAAAGAAAATAAACGCATCCATACTTCAAGAACTGAATATTAAAGAAGGTTGGCTATTAAAGACGAGAAAACATAGAAAATTAAAGTATTTTGGTCACTTGAAACGTCACGAACGTTTAGAGAGAACAATAATGGAGGGGGTATGTGCCTGGGAAGAGAGAAAGAGGAAGGCCAAAGACAAGATGGGTGCAGGATATGGGGGATGATCTCCAGATGGGTTTATCGGACAAGGGACATCTTGCTTGTGATTGAGAATTTTTCCGGAAAGTGATTATGGGAGCAACGTTCTGCAAAGGACATGCTACTGATTGACTGACTGACTGATCTTATTCTAAAGCAGTAGAATATAAAACCTACAAAGTCGCATTCATAGACCAGAAAATGGCTTATGATCGAGTAGACAGGGATATGTTGTGCGTGTTGTCTAAAGAAAATATTAAACTTACAAATATCTTTTTGAAGTTTGTAAGAGTTTATATGCATCAAATAAAAGTTGTGTAAGAATGAAATCAGGTACATGCAAACCTTTTGAAGTAAATTTAAGAAGTTATTTCTCCCCCTACTTTTTGTAGCGTGTGCTGACAGTATTTGCAAAGTAGATAAGAGCGAAAAGATTATGATATTTTACAACTGCTATTTGCAGATGACTAAGCATTAATATTTTGTGATTTACTGATTATACTAAAGCATTTGATAGAGTGAAACATAAAGAAATTATTAAAATTTTGTAAACCTTTAACATGGTTGGTAAATTTCTGTGAATATTAAAAACCGTGTACTGACAACAAGCAATAGCCATAAGGGTAACAATTAAGTTGGAACTTTTCAAAAACATTAAACAAGGCGTTAGACAGGGATGTGTACTATCACCCGATCTTTCGGTTTGTACAGTGAAATAATAATCAGATCCATACATGGTTTGGCAGGAATATCGGATGGTGGGCATATTATTAACAACCTGCAATACGCTGACGATATAGTGTTGATCGCTGAAAATGAAACACAACTGCAAGAAATGTAAGGGAAAGTGAGAACAAGTCTTGGCAGCAGAAAACCCGAAGTAATGGTAATTACAAAGAAAACTGACCCTCCGAAATGCAACACCAAAGTAAATTGGACAAACCTCAAGCAAGTTAACATGTTTAAGTATGTGGGTACACAGATAACATCAGATGGAAGATGTATTAAAGAAGTTAAATGCAGAATACTTCAAGCAAAAGCAGCATTTTACAAAACTGAGATGTCTTAAAAGAAGCCGATTCACGAAGAGAACTGATTACCCACATCAGAAAGAGACAATCTGCATTCTTTGGTAATGTGATGATAAGAAGAAAACTTGAGTACATCGTCATAGTAGGAAAGTTGAAGGGAAGGATAGACAAAGCGAGACCAAGAGAAAAGATGCTGAACAGTTTAACCAAGCATGCAAGATTATCTATGTCAGAGTTGACTGAAAGTACACGAGACAGAAGCTTGTGGATAGACACGACTACCAACGCTACACAGCACGGACTTTAAGAAGAAGAAGCAATAGTAGCAGAAACAGAAGAGGGTCTCCAAAACCATTTTCATCGAGTCAGTATCAGGTGTCGGAAATATAATTTCAA